CCAACTACTGGTCCCCACATACCACTTTTTAAGGGGGCTGGGGAGAGGACCTGTGTGAGTAAGTTGATCATTAAAACAGCTCACTCATGAAAACCTAAGCGTGTGTGTACTAGGAGCAAAGACAACCACCTGTATGACCTCAATACCCTTACCACAACCAAGAACACGAACAACATCAGATATATAAGGGCTCTTCAAAAGGTTCACGCAGAATGCTTATTAGGAAAAATCTATGCATGGATTTTCAAAAACTTTTTGCACCAAAATGAACTGGTATTTCTGTAGGGTGCTCCCTGAGAGACATAAAGTGAGAAATCACCCCCAACGGCCAATAGCCACATCACAATCCCTTATCCTCCACTCTCCTGAAATTTTGGGCACACACACACACGTGCCCCATGTAAGGTTCAAGCCGCTGGGTCTGGGACACGAACCACAGTCTGCCATGTTGGAGTCCAGCACTTTGACCACTGCACCGCCTGCTGGCCATAAACTGCTATTTCAGCTCCATTTTTCCATGAAGTTGTTGAAGCCCCCTTTGTATAGTTTAGTTGTTCCAGTTTTCATCAGGAATAATCCCATTTGCCCCAAAGATGACTTTTTGATTTGGTTACTTTTTCCTTTGTTGATGCAAGATCAATCAATTGAATTCTATTTGGTGTATCTCTTGGATGGTTTTAATGTAGAATACGAGTCCATAGACTTTTCCTTAAAGGGCCAGTTAATAAATATCAGTCTTAGAGTGTTATATGATCTGTTGCAATACTTCAACTCTGTTGTCGTGTGAAAACTGCCAACATGATATAAATAAGTACACATGGTGAAGTTCCAGTAAAACTTTATTTACAAAAACAGCGAAGTGGCCACTGTTTCCCAACCCCTAATCTTGAACAGCTACCCTATTGTTGTTGTTCATGACACCGACTTTTTGAAGAACCTAGTCAAGTTGTCTCATGGTGTCCCACACTCTGGACTTCTCTGGTAGTTTCTTCACAGTTGATTCAGGGTAAGCAAATCTTTTGTCAAGGGTTCTACACAGATGCTGTGTACATCCCACTGCCTCCTGTCGGAAGGCTCACATTGGGCAGTTCCTGTGTTGGACTCTGTGGTTTACTTAACAAGGTCTCCATTGCAAACGTGCATTTACATTGATGTAATTAACAGGCAATCTAGGTCCACACCTAGATTTGAGACTGTGCTTCTCTCTTTCTGTCCCTTGGCTCTTCATCCAGGAATCCTGTGATGATTCCTACCTAAGTCCATTCCTACACTAGGGGAAGGAGAAAGGTGACCTTTCTATTACATCTCTGTTTTTTGTTTGTTTGATGTTTGTTTTTTGAGAGGTTTTCGCTAGAGGGAGCGTGCACTCGCCAGAAAGACAGAGACAGAGAGATAGAAAACCAGAAATCACCCCCCAGGGGGGGATGGCCACACCACAATCCCTTCTCCTCCATTCTCTTGGGATCATGGGCACGCATGCACACGCGCCCGGCGTGAGTTTAAGCCGCCGGGTCCAGGACTTGAACCACGGTTGACTACATGGGAGTCCAGCAACATAGCCATTAAAAGCTGCTTCCCTCCTTTTTTTTTTAACTCCTACACCTCTGGTATCATTGTGAATTCCTGATTATATTTGGTTGGAATCCATCACGTAAATTCTTTTTGATACTAACAAGACCTCAGTCTGGTCAGTAGGGAGTCTTCAAGGTGGTTTCTATCTGCACCACTCTTGGAGAGCTTCCATGCTTTCTGGCCAGTCCATTCTGGGCACACATTGTACTCTGTCCTGGGCCTGGGTTAGCCATTTCCAAGGAACTTGGTTCTTTTTAGTGAGGAGTGGTATTAGAGACCAAGTCTGCGGTTATACCAACCACTAGAAATGGCAGCCAATTAGAGGCTAAATTATATCTGTATTGCATGCATTTCAGTGATTATGACAGTGGGCATTTTTTTTATGTTTTGTGGCTATAAAACATGAAAAAACATGTAAAATGTATATGTGAATTTCTTATTAAATCTTATGACTACATTTATGTAGGGATACTGGTCTTTTTTCTTCTCATGAAAATGAGTAACTAACTTAAAGCACTTAAAATAGTGCCTGGCACACAGTAGGGTTACATATTGCTAGCTATTGCTCTTCGTATTCATCCTGTCTTGCAAGGATCAGGAGTGACTTAAACTCAGTCTGCCAGACATGCGTGGCTCTGCAGTCACAGTGGAGCTGGCCTGCACCCAGTGGGGCTCCCTGCCACTGCCTGGAGTTTACTACTCCACAAGTCCCACCTCCCATCACTCACATGGCTCTGGTACGTGCTTTTTGCACCTGTGGGCCATAGGCTGAACCCCACAGCCAGGGGTCCAGTGTGCAGCCTCAGCACAGAACGGGCCCTAGAGCCACTGCAGCTCACTGCTCCTCTCTGTTTACAGGAGGTGGACTGGGAGGTGGAGCTGGCCGTGGTCATTGGGAAGAAAGGCAAGCACATCAAGGTGAGGCAGACGGGGTGGGCTACCAGGCCAGAGTGCAGCAGAGGCTCCCGCTCCTGCCTTGCCAGTGCTGACCTTGGTCATCAGCACAGTGGTTGGTGCCCAGCATCCCTGGCCCTGGGATGTGTTCAACACCTACCTGCTCCCGCCTTGTCTGTCACTCATCACCTTCAGCTAGCTCTGGCTCCTAACATGGGATAGAAGCTTTGAGATCCTTGTCGTAGGGACTGGTGTCACCTGTGACCTAACCTCGTATCTGGCCGAATCTCCATAGGCCACAGATGCCATGGCTCACGTGGCCGGCTTCACTGTGGCTCATGACGTGAGTGCTCGTGACTGGCAAATGAGACGCAATGGGAAGCAGTGGCTATTAGGAAAAACCTTCGACACCTTCTGCCCCCTGGGCCCTGCCTTGGTGACCAAGGACAGTATAGCAGGTAGGTCCCTGGCCTTCTCTACTTGCATCTGCTCTTCCATGTACACTTTAATGCTCTAGGGAGCGGGAGTACAGGTATAGTTCCAACTGAGCCCACCCTCCCAGCCGCCCTTGTGCTCCTGAGAGGGAACACAACTGCAGAGGCTGTTATTCTGCACCTATGATGGGAATTAAAAGAACAATACTGCAGGACCAGCAGTTGGCATAATGGCTATGTCACTGGACTCCCATGTAGTGGACCGTGATTCGAGTCCCGGACCCAGTGGCTTAAACTCCTGCCAGATGCATGTGCATGCCTGCCTAAGATCCCAAGACGAGAATGGAGGAAAAGGGATTGTGGTGTGGCCATCCCCCCTGGGGGATGATTTCTTCAGCTTTCTTTCTGGCGAGCATATGTGCCCTATAGCAAAAGAAAACAAAAAAAACTCTAAAAAAAAAAAGAACACTGCACTGATGGGTGGTAACTGCCACCATCCTGAACGGTCTTTAAGTTGAAAGGAACTGAGGGGGCACGGGCTCCAGCTGCCCCGTCTGTGGGGGTGGGTGTGGGGTGCACAGCCCAACACTGGCGTCAGCCATGCTGGCTAGTGACTGATACGGGTAAGCCATCCCTTCAGAGTCAGGCACACAGGAGCTGATCGTCCCTGCACGAGCCACCACCCTGTCCCTGCTGGGTGCGGAGTTGTGTTATAGCTACAGTGCTCGGCCTCTGCAGCGGACACTCCATTTTCCAAGGCGTTTGTCTGTGCACCGTCAGTCTGGAACGTTCCTCCTGACTCATCTGGATGGCTGCTGCCTGGGTGGTGGGGCGCAGGAGCCCAAGGAGGCTGGTGTCTGTGGGGAGTTCCAGGGTAGAGTGCCGAGTGGGAGTGGCCATGAAGCCCTTCCACCTCGCCAGTTTCGAAGACTCTAGAGAGTGTCCTTTTCTGAAATGTGGGGAGAGGTTTGAGGGGAAAAGGGATGACCCTGTGGTGTCTGCATTTCAGATCCACACAACTTGAAGATCTGCTGCCGACTCAACGGGGAGGTGGTCCAGAGCAGCAACACCAACCAGATGGTGTTTAAGACGGAAGAGCTGATAGCCTGGGTCTCCCAGTAAGCTACATTGGGGCCTCTTGGCCACCCCCACCCGGCCCCCCACACACCTGGATGCCGAGCTGAGCCCTCTGTCCCTGGCAGGTCACATCTTCCCCAGATCTCACCGGGTCCTTTTGCTTTTCCCCAGGTTTGTCACCCTTTACCCAGGGGACATCTTCCTGACTGGGACGCCCCCAGGTGTTGGTGTATTCAGGAAACCGCCTGTCTTTCTCAAGGTAGGTTAGCTAAGGAGGAAGGGGTGCCAGCACAGGGCCCGGGAAGGCCTAGCAGGCTGGACTCAGATTAGAGGAATGCGGGCCTGTGTGTGTGCAGACGTGTGTGTCACAGCAAAGGGCTGAGGCCTCTGTGGCCTGTTCTTTTGCAGAAGGGAGATGAAGTCCAGTGTGAGATCGAAGACCTGGGGGTCATCATCAACAAGGTGGTGTGATGGCCCCTGTGCAAGCCCCGGACCTAACACGAGCTGGAGACATCCACTTCCATCCGGCCAGGCACGGGGAAGGGCCTGGGACCAGACATGGGCGGGTGCCAACCTCTCAAGGTTTCTCTAGGTAGGAAGAGGACAGAGTTCTCCTTAATAAATTTGTTGGATGAAACAGCAGCTTGGTTCCTCCTGCTCTTTGTCTTCTTTAGGGAGCAAGATGGGGCATTTTCACAGGCCTGGGAAGGAGAGTGGACAGCCTGCAGAAGACACTGCTGAGCATGGGCTTAAAGGACTTGTTTTGTCTCCTTGTTTATTATACCAAAGGATGGACACAGCAAGATGACAAGGGACAATCGAATCTCAAAACCACTCAGAGTCCTGCTCAGGGACTCTGGCTGAGGGTGCACCGTGTTCCGGGCTGAGAAGTCAGCATGGGCTCGCCCCACAGTTCAGCTACAGATGAACTGCCGGATGAACTGTTCCAGCCTTTCCTGGCTGTCCCGGCTGGCAAATGCAGGGGACAGCTGGAGCCTGGGGCCTGCAGGGCTGGGCATCTGCTGCAGCACCTGGACAGTAGAGATGGCCTGTGAGTGCCCTCACCATGGGGATTGTGCCCACAGGGCCCAAAGACCAAGCATGTCCCCTGGGGACCTGTGCTCAGACCTCCGGCCCCTCTAGCCTGTGTTTGAGTAGATGCTGCCTCGTCTCTACAACTACCCAGGTACTCCACCTGAGTAGGAAGAGCCGGCTGCTCAGGGAAACAAGAGGGGCAGGAAAACCACCCCACAGTGGCCACATCTATGCCTGGGAGACACTGGGTGAATTCCGAGGTCTGAGTGAGGTGTCATCAGGGCCTGCTTGTGAGATGGGGACACAACTGAGCACTTCTACCAAGGGCCGAGGGTTAGAGAAGGGACAGGAGAATGGGGACCCTGGGCCCTCTTACCCCCAGGTCTCTGAAGGTCCAGACAGCACTGACAGCAAGATTGGGGTCCACACACTCTGGAGGGAAGAGAGAAGTGAAGGCTCTAGGGTGGGAGTGCAGGAGCCACTGGACATAGGCTTTCCTCTTCCACCCACAGAAAGGAAAC